CATTGACAAATTCTAGATATAGTTTAAGTTATTATGTCCACAACTATAAATGAACTGGAAGCGATGTAGATTGGGGACACAGTAAACAGTAAATTATTTACAGGCACTCAGCGCTTAGCTGAGCACTTGTACTCCGCTCTCCATCCTGACTCGCTGTCACAGGAGGCTGACGGGCGGTGCAGGGAGGAGAGCTCAGCCTCCTGTGGCACGGCTGACAGCTGACTCCTCCCCCGCACCACCGGTCTGATCTGTGACATCTGTAAATACTATGTCTCCTTCCCGCACCACTCCCCTGATCTGTCACAGGAAGGCGAGCAGGGCAGTGCGAGAGAGGAGAGCTCAGCGTCCTCTGACAGTGCTCTCCTCCCCGCCCTACTCAGCTCCTGACAGTTTCTCTCCTCTTCGCTGAAAGCTGCTCTGTGTCAGAGGGGACACAGAGCAGCGCCCAGCGGGGTGGAGAGAAACTAGGGATGCACCACATTTTAGGCCAAAACATTGTACTTTCTGCATTTTGCCCAAAGTATAATTTTTGCCCAAATTTTGGTGTAACCCTAATAAATAAACAGCAAATTCAAAAACTTCCTACAAATAGTGAGATTTTTGCTGTTGTTTTTGTCCAATTAAACATGGAATCAAGGTATAGTTACTGACACTGTTAGTTTTCTGACTTATGAAGTTGATTTTTCTACTTTGATTTTAAGCTCAATAATGGAGGGATTATTATGTTTTTAGTTAGTTTCTAATCTAACAAAGGCCCCATTCACACCTCTCTTTTAGAGTGCAACAATGCATGTGTCATAGAAACACATGTAAGCCAACGAGCCTGTTCACATCTATGTGCTGCTTTGCACTGTATTTTGAAAAATTAGGCATGTCAATTTTTCTGTGCATTTTCACTTTCTATGAGACCCATAGAAGTCTATGACAACACAATGCGCGTATGTTATGTTATACCACATTTTCATGTGTTACCAGTCCTTGGTAGCAAGCTCCACCCCTGGGTACCTGTCATGTGTGCGCACATTGCTCCAAGGAAGAAGACCACTGCAGAATCTCTGTATGACTCAGGAGCTGTCATCAGAGAGGTTCACAGCCTGATATCACCATTCCCACCGCCACTACAAGAACAGAAAGAGAATTGGAAGAATCTGGGAAAGCTTGGCAGATCAATTTATTCCACATTAGGCAACATAATCATCCTCAATCTGGAAGAAAAAAGTTTCAACCTGGCCTAAAAGTACTTTTGGGTTTCATCACAATGCCTGCTATTGAGCACTGCTGGGATTTATTTTTCATCTATAGATTAAGCCTTTTTTGTAAATTTGATGTGCTTCTTTACACATTGGCAGTACAATTAAAGCGATGTAACTTTATGCTGCTACCAACAATATTCCCCCTTTTTTTTTTTTTTACAGTAAGCCACCTCTTCCCTCTTCAACACACTAAAAAAAGCCACAGCACATTCTACAGGACTGGCCTGCCTTCCAGGGCTATCCACAGCAGAGCGAGTTTACTTACTGCAGCTAATAACAATTAAACTGGCACCAGCAAGTGTCAGAAGTACTGCCAAGCAGACAAAAAGCGAGACCTCACACTAATTTGGGAATTACTTTAATTGCTTAGCTATTTGTGGGAATTTGTGTAGCAGCATTCAAACAGTGTATTTCAAGGAGGTCCTGACATCAGATTTTAATAATGGACAGTAACCTGGGGTAGGGGCAGCAAACGTTGTGTACTTAGCACCTGCTAGTACTTCTATCTTGAAAATACTGTGTGTTTCTGTATAAGATTATATACAAGGCTCGTTCACACCTAAATACGTGTTAATGTGTTTTAGACAAACTGTGTTATGTGTTTTAATACTCCTTTTTTCAGTTGACATAAATGGAAATGCACCAATAATTTAGTCTGAAGAATTTACAAATCATTTAAAAAAAGTACTTTTAACAAGTTGATCTGTAGTCTTTTACTTTTATGTGATAAGTGTGACTATTATCTGCTTAGTGTATGTATATAAACTGTCCATTCTGCTCACAGTAAAGCTGGCCATACTGTACATTGAACATTTCCCTTGTTCAACCCACGGGCCTGAATAAGGAAAATGACTAGTGTACAGCCAGCTTAAGTAGTAAAATGCTTTTGCATAAAAGGCTCCATTTCCTAAGCTTTAACCCAAGTATAAAGAGCCTGATTTTATCCATGTGACTGTAATTTTCTCATTTGAAAATATCTTTCTTTTAAATAACTATAATTTTCCTGATGTGTTAGGTTTGTGAATTGAGTTACTAGACTTCCTTAGTGGAAATTCTGTTTTGTTCCACTCATGATGACCATGGTAGGTCAAATGGGAAACTGGGAAACAAGGTGTAGAGATCCCAGTGCAGAAGTTCCCTACAGATGAGAAACTAGTCAGCATCTATTAAAAACAAAATATTAATTTTGTGTAGAATGATCCCTTGAAGCAGATCTATGATGACTTCTCTGATCTTAACTACTTCTGCCACACTAAATATATTGATGGTAAAAAGACATGAAAATACCCTTCATTAGAAAATTATAGCTCCTTCCAGTGTCTAGGCATGGGTCACATAATTTCAGCTTAACGGTTTCAGGCAACCAAAACTGACAGGTTCTGTGTCTGATCCCTACCTTTGCTGAGATCCATGGCCAATCACAGAGAGATGGGTGATTTTTGATTTAGTTCATATTGGTGAAAGGACCTTCACCTTGATGATATAAGCAGGCTTTTGGATGACTTTTTAGATCTGGGCTTTGTTAAAATGCATTGCTTCTACTACTGTTGATACATAGCATGCAACTGCCTGGAGAATAGAATAGGGAGCAATAATTGTACTGACTGTGTTTAGGATCATTAGAGCTGCCTCTTAATTATGCCTTGCCAAGTTCATCTCTTGGCCAGCAGAAACACTGCATTTCACACATTCTTACTGTATGGCTACACTGTAAATCAAACAAGAAAGGCCCCTGTTGATAGATGCTTAGGATGCTAATTATATGGCTTTGAGCTATGCATAGACCATATGAAACAAATGCATAGAACATTCAAGCACCGTTTTATTTAAATTGTTTTGATTCTCACTGTTGACAGCTTTTATTGCACAGGAAAATCAAGAGAAATTAATTTACATCTGCTGGACATTGTGCTCTCTTTTTTCCCCAGCATCTGTTCAGCTCACGAAAGACCTCAGATGCCCACTTGTCTACACGGGCAATATAGTCAGCATCCAGCTGTGGTTAACTACTAGGCCTACTCCTCAGATTGTTGTTCTTAACTCTATTGTCAAATACAATGCCATATACATTTTGTGATTGATGCTTAATTAGAAAGTCTTGTGCAATATCTTCCAATGCAGTCAAATTATGTGCAAACAAATCCGTATGTGTTGTGAATATTGTAATGACAAATCCCACTGGTGCATGTAGCTTTCTCCAGCAGTCTTATTGGTAAAACCCAGGCTTGGCTTGACTTGTGTTTATATATTTACTTTCTGAAATCTCCCCATCTCCAGAAGCGACCATTCGCTATCACTACAGAATTGAAGTTCTTGCCAAAATGTTTTCTTTGTAAAGATTATCATTGCAGTCTGGTTCCCAGCAATCTTCCACATGCTCTTTCCCTATTACTGTTCATTCTGAATATAGGTTTCCACACTCCTCCCTGTCAGACTTTCACATCAAAGTAATGTAATAATTATAGCCAGTGTCTGTTTTTTAGATTTTATAGGTGGATTTCCTTATTCCTGTGCACAGTAATAACCCCTCTCCCCCAACCTATTGTGGACAGAATAGGGTACCTATTGGCTAAGGTCTCACTACATCAGATCTATTGCTAGAGTGCCATTAAATGAGAAAAGCTGCCATACCAGATTTCAACAGCCGGTGGTAGTGCAGGCAACATTTGCAAGTACAACTCCCCCTCTATATTTACAGGATTTTACCATTCCTAAAAGTAATACCTAAGGGAACAGCGTTTTTAACCTTAATGCATTCTCTGCATTAAAGTAAAAAAATGCTTTGGTACCTTTTAATGCCCCTCACCTCTAAAAACGTACCTTTCATTCGCTGCTGGGTTCAAAGTGGTCTGCACTGCTTCCCTGAAGTTCCAAGTTGTGGAGGAAGGATCCCGAGGGCTGTGAGGATAAGGCAGCGATAGGCTGCTGCAGCTGCCGGTCAAATTACTGTGAGAAGGCTGGAGCATGGGTGTGGCTTGCCAAGTACTGTGACTTTCAGTGGACGCACACAGCTTCGCTCGGGTGATGGCCGGGAGCATGCATGCACAGGTGTTTTCTTTGCAACCTGCTATGCTAGGAGACACCTGCAAACTGGAGGGGAGGGCTGCTGTCTGAGAGCTGAAGAAAATCAATGTAAATGGGGCAGTATATTTACAATTGTCAGAAATAGGTAATTTTCTACAAGCATAGAATCTAATAGTTTTATATAAGAAGTAGTGTGAATGAATTGCCAGCCTTCAGTCGGCAAGCTATATAACTGACAATGACATAACATTTTCCCTGTTAAGGGGATGTGAGGAGTAAGCTCTCTTTAGATGGTATTTACAGTATATGATCCCCTTTAAAGCTTCTGAATAGTTTGTGCTGGTGTGGAGAAGGGTTAGCACAGAACTGTTGAGTTTATCCTGTTGTCTGTGTCTCTCAAGGAGGTTCTACCACCGTGTTTCTGGTTCCATGGTCACTGAAATAGTAAGTGAGGGTAGACCACCTGCTAGAGATTAATGTTTCCCAAACTATGCAAAGCAGGCTTTGCCATTTTTAAAACATGTTTAAGGGTTCCAATTTCTGCAAAAGCCAGGTTTTCATTATTACTATCTTGCTTATATGAAGTCCTCCTAAGTCTATGAGCATCCAGTTTAACCAGGGGCCATGAATTGATATACAGGGAAGAAGCATAGTGTTTGGTTATTGCAGTTTGCAGTAGTTTGTTTGCTCTGTAATAACAGGAAACCTGTTTCTTATTTGTAGGTGGAGTTGTTGTACCAACTGACAGACACCATGAGCAAAGTATGCAAGAGGATTCAGAAGAGAGGAGTATTATACCAGTCGTCCATGTACTTTGACCCTTCATCGGGTGCTGCTCCTAGTTCTCCAATTAGAAGCAGCGTTGGCACCGCGCCTCCTGATACCAGCACATGCAGCCCATCTGCTGATATTGGGACCACTACTGAGGTAAGTGTTGGTGATAAAAGAGTGAGCTGTCAGTGCATAAAACATTGCAAACATCCTAATTCAGCAGTGTATATAACTGATCCATCACAACACATTTGTGTTCTGCTTTTCATTCTGCTCCACCTCCTGTGACCATGAGAAATTCTCCAGCAAATTATCCGAGAGATATCTGAAGAGCTGATCATATACAAACACAAAACAATATGCAGCTCCATGTACAGCTGGTGTTGTAGAAGAGGACACATCAGATTCCAAATCCCTTGTTTTTGTGGCGTATGTCAGGAAATTAATAGCCGGTCTATTACTTTATAAAATGTCAGAGCTGACAGCCAAAAAAAAAAAGCTGGAAGCAGAATTTAAAGGGAACAGTTTTTCCTCTACAGCAATCACCTGCATATGTGTTTAATTTCAGCTTTAACTATATGTGAAGAATAGGCTTCTTTTATAGCAAAACAGTTAAGATTAGCTTGGTAAACATGTTTAAAGAAGCCGCAGACTTCATTCACATGCGGCATGTTGCCCCATGCAGCGTGAAGGCCCGGTTATCTATGCGCCCAGAGCTTCTAGTTTTGACAGCTTCATACACACGGTGCAAGGTCTCGGATGCAGACATAATGGATGCTGCTCTGTACATCGTCTGTGTGCAGCTGTCCAAACTCGAAGCTGCGGGAAGCGGCTTGTGAGGGTGCACAGCTCATGTGTCTCCATAGAGTTACATGAGCTGCCTGTACACTTCTTCCTGCAGCTCAAGGCACATCAAAAACCCTTAAAGCTGTATGGAGCAACATACCCTGTGTGAATTGTGCCTTAAGCTCTGCCTATTAGATGGAATATGAATATTTGTGTGAGTCATCAGCTTTCTGAATAGCATTAATTACTAGTTTTGGTGCATTACGCCTGGTGGGCTTTGGAAATTAATACAATCAGGGACATTATTATTATTATTATTATGCAGGATTTATATAGCGCCAACAGTTTGCGCAGCGCTTTACAATATAGGGCAGACATTACAATTACAATACAATTCAAGACAAGATGGTAAAGAGGGCCCTGCCACTGAGGGCTTACAATCTAAAATTGACATTTTGTTTGTTCTAGTGTGGTAAGCTGACACATGAGGTTTGTTTTCTGTGCGAATCTCTGCGAAGTGGGCTTAATGTATCCTAAACTAATTTGCCAATTAGCAGTTTATTAGATTCAACTCTGCCTTGGAAATTGAGAGTAGGCCAATAAGAATTTAAAGTGCATGCAAAGCCACAACTTTGTTTTTTAGTTTTGGACAGAGTGAGGAGGTGCTAGAACCCTTTTAGATTATTATTGCCATCTGTGTCCCTGTTTGAGAGATTCACCTCTCTATTTTTCCTGCTCACCTTATCTCTAAAGAATGGACTTGCAGGCCTAATTTTCCAATGGAAACAAGCAAAGCTGAAACGTTCTCTGAACATGCACACGCATATTGGGAAAGAACATTGATTATATAATTTACAAAGTTAATTGACTTTCTGTAGTATAGTGTAAGGAGTTTTAGAAAAAGAGGGCTGGGTTTTTCTTTTTTTTAGAATTTGCATCACTTGACCATTGTCCAGGCAGCCGTTTTTATACAGCTGCATGTCATAACTATGTATCAATAATGACGTATGTTGCTACAGTAAAGAAGAAAAGTACAGTCAACTGTTTTCCCCTGATACAGAAATCTTCCACATGTGGTGTGATTCACCAGCCTGTGGTCTGGGATAGGGAAGGTTTTATGATTATGTGGACATGAATTCCTATATTAGCTGACTCTCCAGCACCTTTTTTCCGGAGTCACAGCCAGCAGCCCACATCAGTGAATTGCTTTCCTCTCTGTCTTTCAGAATATCAGGTGTGAAGTTGTTTCCAGCTGTGTTAGGCATACTTTACCACACCAGTCTTAGAATGTGTGATATCACATTAGTTGTAATAGAAGATGGCAGGCAGCTTTTACAATTGGGGTGTGGGGGTGATCATTTCCTCAGCTTCGGTTTGGAAAAACGATTGGAGCTCGTTTATAATTTTGTTGAGCCAGAGCAGTGTACTTTAGCCCATATCAGCCTCTAAATTTTTGCTTCCAATTTTCAATGCGACTGGTTGCCATAAGCAGTTTCTCTAACTTGCTTTCTGAAGTAGCTTAAATTGAATGTAAAGAGAACCTATCATGATAGATTTATAGGATCTGCTATTACTGACTTGTTTTGAAAGGTGCAAGCTACAAGGCTTTTATCCCTATCATACTTGTTTTACCACTTTGTGGGTAATTGTCCCAGAAAAAGCTTGAATGCATGATTTGTGTTAACACCTGTTAAGCACATGCTTGCTTGTTCCGGGTCATTGACTCTGAAAGTTCTGATTGAAGGATAAGATAAGAGCAGACCTTGAACCTTTCAAAACAGCTGTCAGCTATGACAGCTCCCATATTTTTCTGTTGACACTTTTCTTTTAATTATACACAAGCCACCACATCATAACTAGGTTGTGTAGTTTCAAATGAAGAAAAAAAGATTAGGCACAGTCCAGTAAAAACAACTTTCCTTACTTCCAAATCAGCAAGGTGTGTAGCCTATTTGTCTTTAATAAACTAACCCCATTGTCCTATCCTCCCTTTCTTCTTCAATTAGAGGTTCTTGAGGCTGTAACAGGCCTAGAAGTTTACTTGTTGGTTGCTTGGATTTGTATTGACCAACCTGGAGAAGGTGTCAAATCATGTAATGTGCATATAAGTGAGCATTGGTTGTGTAGTTATGTTGTCCATGCTAAATATACAATGTATTATAATTAGGATATATATCCTATTGTAAGCATGGTTATGTAATGGTTACATCTTCTGTGGTTGTCCATTCTAAGATTAAAGCAAACTATCCACTTCCCAGTTTAAACGGCCTGAACTTATTATAAAAAAGCAAAGGTTGAAAATGCTTATATACCATTGTTCATACCATTCAATGTTCCTACACACACACACCCCACGTGTCAGTTTGGCCTTTATATTGATGCCCAAAGTTTGCCCCAAACAAATTTTTCAGAGCATTTTCAGATCCCAGATCTATAAAAGCAACTTACCTTATGTATTCCTGAAATCATCAGGCAATGTTTTTCAATTTAGAAACTTTACCTGTAATCTGCCTTTATACAGTTGCTGCAACACACCAGCTGAAAGTTTAGATGACGCGTCTTAAATTAAGTAATAAGTCTTAAAGTAGCACTCTAAGGGTTGGCATCATCACCAGTAGTGATGAACCTGGGCTTGGCAGGAAACCAGTTCACCTGTGTTTCACCACACCCTTTTCAAACTGTGACTGCCACCCCCCAACCCAATCTGTTGCAGCGACACATTCAGCTCTGTATCAAATGGGTGGGAAATGCCCCCACCACAACTGCTGCCACTGATTTGCCTTCAAGGTGGAAGTGGCAGGCACAGTTTTGAAGGGGGCTTAGGCGAACTCGGTTCGAACCAAGCCCAAACAATAGTGTAGCGATACGCACTGTTATTCTATACAGCAGAATTTGTAAACAAAAAGTTTGAAAACGGATGCTGTCCTCCTTATCCTATGCAATGGTACAATACAGCAAGGTTGGCCTGATCACAAGAGTGGCCTGATTTCATTGTGCTAGACTGGAGCATTACTTGGTACCTGCTGTACAGCCTGAGCACTCCAACCAGCAAATGCACTGGTAATGATATTGCAGTAGTTATAATGTCAGAAAGTCCCCGTCAATTTAACTGCAGTTAATTTCCTTGTAATCCCCTGCAGCCACATTTCAATGAGCTCCACACATGTGTTATGGGAGGCTGTGCTTTTTGAAGTATGGTGCTATGCAATTTCCTATTTCCCTCTTCTTGATATATCTTTTACCAGTCATATTCAAACTTCTAAGACAGGGTTATTTAGAGGCTGTGAGATGCTCCGTAGTTATCTGGTGTCCAATATGTGAGAGTGGATAAGCGACCTACATTGGTTGGGATTGGTAATATCTCTTCTTAAATACTCGATAAAGAAAAGGGGTTTCCAGATCACGACATTACCCTCTAAAAGGAGTGTGGCAGTACTACAACTGCGCCTGGATAGAAAACTAAAACCCTTAGTTGAGGCTGTGTCCCCTGCATGTAATTCAGGGTTCAATTTCTAGCTTTGAATGCAATGTCTGCTTTGGTAGGAAAACTATGCAGCACCTTGTAGAGATATTCTCTAGCACAGGAATAAATCAAAGCAAGTCTAATTTGTTAATGGAGCACATCCAGTCAGGTGCAGTGTGTTAGCACAGGTATGGAAGCCCTGGCTTTCCTGTATGGAGGCCGTTTTCACATGCCTCTCCTCTACTGCTGGAGAGCACAGTGGAGCACAAACATTTCCTGCCCAGGGCTGCTTAATTTGGCTGTGGTCTCGCTGTAAGCTGGCAGGGAACCGAGCAAAGGGTGGGGAAAAGTGTTTGGGAAATTGCTTTTGGCAATTGAAAAATGAGCTGGTGCAATTTAATACAACACCATGAGACTAGAAAGCAAATGTAAAAACAATCGTTTTTCTAAGCACAGCGAACACATTTTTACCAGATTGTCAATAAGAAACCCACATGTTTGTTCCCGGGCAGTGGAAAATTGATGTTACATACTAGATTAGAAACATTTTTCTTTCAATATATCTGGATAAATATATTTCAGTGTTCTTTGTTTGATTGCAATAAACGCGAAGACTATTATTTCTACCCAGTGGAATATTCCAATCTGTCAATCCTAGCAAATTAAAAACCTGAATAAACACACAGTAAGATGCATGCTAATATAGGACTGAGGTATTGTATGAAAACTGGAGGAAAGAGTTATTGCTGACCACATCAACCAATCATCTGTTGGCTTTCTGCACTAGACAACTGACAAGTAGCCACTGCTTGTTAATGGTAACACTTCTAATTTCTTTTTCCCACTTCACTACATAATTCGTCTCAAGCTGTCTACCTTCCATGCTTATTTAAAGGAGATCTATGAG